AGATGACTGGATTTCCCTAACCCAGCTTGTTTCCCTTGCAATCACACATCAGCTGCAGTAATGTCATTTTAAAGATCAGAGGGAGCGTTTTGGCTGTTTCAAGTGTCTGAAAATGGCTGGGGGGGGGGAGACAGTCCCTCCTCCTCTCCAGGCAGCACTTCAAGCTGGAAAAACACTTCCTCTGATCTTTAAAATAACATTCATGCAGCTGATGTGTGATGACAGGGAAATTAAGTTGGGTTTCGGAAACCCATGGTCATCTAAAATCATTGTGCAGTTTGGCCCTCAGTCTCTTGTGGCCACAGAGGGAGCAAACCTTCTCCTTTTTTTGGAAGATGAAAGCAAAGATAATCTTTTCCCAAAAAGAAGAGCCGATCCCGGCTTTCCTCTGCCCCCTTGATGCAGGAGGTGCTTCAGGTGAGCGCAGGAGTCATCCTCTCTGCAGGGAATACCCATCTGGAAGTAGCTGCCTCTGTCATGGGATGATGGTTGGCTTGGAACCTCCCTACCCCTGTGACACCCCCACCCTCTCTCAAAATTCCAAGTATGCCCACTGCCTCAACGAGCCTGGGGAGACTCTTAGTCTGCAGGAAAGGCTGCTTCTGATTTGTGAAGGAGCTGTCTGGTGCCTCTGCCTGGCACCCATGCCACGTAGCCACTACTAAGCACATGGCAGATCCTTTGTCTCCTCCGTGGTCCTGAAGCACTCAAAGCCATCTATCAAATGTGCCATCTTGGCACCACCATTTCCCTGTGGCCCTCTAATTTGGACGTTTTGGCACATGAACGAAATTCACAGCTGTGCCCCCATTCAAAAAAGAGGTGCTGGTAGCAGAGTCAGGAAGGGAAGTCAAAAGCTCAAAACTTTACTTCCCTCAATTCTGCTGTCTAACTCTAAACAGTATTGAAGCACAGTTCTGCTTTTAAAAGAGTCTGGAAAAGATTAAGCGAGCAGTGGAGAGCCAAGAGAGAAAGAAAAAGCCACACTAGAGGATGCAAAGATGCAGGCCAGAAATGGCAGCCTGTGCCAAAAAGCAGCTTAGCCAATCTCCCCCCCCCTTTTTTTTTTTGCAGGGCTAACTCAGAAATTATTTCATTACAGGCTAAGAAATCCAGACCAAGCACACAAAATTATCCATAATAGCTTGATAACGGACTGCCACTCAATCATGGGCCTATTTGAATTTCTCTTTTTCTAGAATGGTCATTCTGAGAACTGAACTCCTTTCATATGCTGTTACTTTGGAAAATTACAGCAAAAGAAGCAGGAAGGCCTTATGAGGACTTAATTTCTTAAAACTCAGTACTGCTGAAGGAAAACTGGACAGGAAGAGCTGGCCTGATGTTTATCCTTATCTCTCCTTTAAAAATGCAGATCCTGAGAGTCAACCGGTGCTCTTCCACTAAGAAACTTCCACATCTCTTTACAAGAGGAAGGAAAGGGAGGGCTCAAGAGCTTCCCATTCAAGTGCAGCAGGGCTAAAAATACTACAGACATCCCCAGGGAAGAGACTGTTGTGTATCTCACCTACCTGGGATGAAAGGAGGGGTGTTCCCCTTCACAATGTTTAAAAGGAACACTGAGCAGAACGCCATTCTCCACCAGTGCAAAATAATCAGTTTATCATTGGTCTCTAGTTACCACACGTGTGAATGCAACATCAGCTATTAAAAATGGGAGTTTATGCCTACAAAGAAAATAGCCGTGGAGAGCCTTACATATATATGGAGCTGTGCTTTCTAGAGTGCCATAACATACAGAAAGGGACTGATGGAGTAGCACAATGTGGAGGGAAGAAAGAAGTCTTTCTTATTTTTCTTTGAAAGTAGTATGAGAAGAAACTGGCACTGGCCAGTGAGAGAGCAAGCTGCTTGCACTGCAGGAGGTAGAAATGGCTGGGGGGGCAGACTAGACCATCCCCCAAACAATCTGGTAAACCATCTGTCATCAAACAGATGTGAGGAACAGCACACAGGTTAACGCGAGCCATGAACAGCTATGAAGAAGAATAACAAAGATTTCTGTTGGTTGCCATGAACAGCTATGAAGAAGAATAACAAGAAACAGATTTCTGTTGGTCGATTTAGCAGTGTTTGTAGACTGCACATCAAGGCTTCCTGATAGTGTAGCTTAACCAACCAGATAACTGTAATGTTGCAGTAGGTTGAAGCTAATCCCCACCCAGCTACCAAAGATGACCGCAGTGCGGTGTAATGGCTTGACCACTGGACTAGAATCTGGGAGCCCCAGGCTCAAATCCCCCTACTACCATGGAAGCTCACTCGGGGACCTTGGACCAGTCACACACTCTCAGCTTAACCCACCTCACAGGATTGTTGTGAGAATAAAATGGAGCAGAGAAGAATGATGTAAGCCACTTTGGGTTCCCATGGGGGAGAAAAATGAGCTATAAATTAAGTAAATAAATAGTAATAGTTGAATACAGCTTGAAATATAATCATTGTAGTGCGAAACGATTGGAAAATACCGAATGTACCTTATGAAGTGAGGACTGCACAGAAAATGCACAAAAAATGGGGCTGCTGTGAGACAGATTTGGACTAAAGGCAACGTATGGGATGAAGAGATCCTGCACATGCCGTTTTCCAAAAAAGGCAAAGCAGATTTCCCAACAGCATGTGCTGATCTCCAAGGCACTTTCTAAAGAGGCTGGGTAACACACACACAACCCAAAGCATCTGTTCGGAATACAGCCCATGATGGGTCCTGACTAGGGATGTGTGTTTGGAATTTCCAAGCCGAATTAATACCCGAATCATGCCTTTTCCAAAGGAACTGGCTGGTCACTGTGTGAGACAAGGTGCTGGATTAAGATGGCCCATTGGTCTGATCCAGCAGGGCTCTCCTGATGTTCTTATCAAGGGAAGGCCTCGGCCTCCATGCCCTGTTGTTGGCCCTCCAGAGGACCTGGTTGGCGACTGTGTGAGACAGGATGCTGGACTAGATGGACCACGGGGCTGATCCAGCAGGGCTCTCCTGATGTTCTTATCAAGGGAAGGCCTCGGCCTCCATGCCCTGTTGTTGGCCCTCCAGAGGACCTGGTTGGCGACTGTGTGAGACAGGATGCTGGACTAGATGGACCACGGGGCTGATCCAGCAGGGCTCTCCTGATGTTCTTATCAAGGGAAGGCCTCGGCCTCCATGCCCTGTTGTTGGCCCTCCAGAGGACCTGGTTGGCGACTGTGTGAGACAGGATGCTGGACTAGATGGACCACTGGGCTGATCCAGCAGGGCTCTTCTGAATTGCTACAGGCTGGCATTAAACTCAAAACAGATGGAAGGGCATGAGAGGAGCCATGGGGAGAACGTGCAGGGTTTGTGAAGAGGTATGTGCTGGCTGGTCTCTGCTACCCTCCTTGTCCAAGAAGATCTAGGGGCCAACTGCTTAGTAGTGCATATATACGTAAATATATTTACATATTGCGCTCTTAAAAATGTGAGGCTATTTCCAACATTAATATGGACAAAATAACAAAATTTAGGTTCAAATATATACCCAGGCCAGTAAACTGAAAGCCCAACAGGAGTAATAATACCTAAGTCCTACCACCAACAATTAACAATCTTAAAATGTCCAGGTAAACAAACAAAAACCCTTGACCTGGCAGCAAAAGGAAAACATGCTTGGCACCAGGAGCAAGTTAAGAGGGAGGACATGAGGTGTCACAACAGAAAAGGCCCTGTCTGTCCTCAACGGCCAACCAACTCACTTGGGGGCGGGGGGGCTCAATAGAGCTTCTGATGCAGACCTTAACCACTGGATAGCATCCATTCTCAGAAGCATGGATTCCCAGAGGCAGACAGAACCTTGGTCTGCAAAGCTGATATTATGACATGGGTGTGAAGTTGGGCAAAGCATGTGCTTTGGACTATGGCTGTCTATCAATTAAGTTCTTCCAAAAAGGTACTTCTCTGCATGATCCCGTCTTCTGAAGTATGGTGGGTAGTAATCAGGCATGGCCTTCTGTGTGGTGACACTGTATCTTTAGAACGCCCTCCCTGAACATATCTGCGTGGCACTGTTTACTCAGGATTTGGCTTGATCCATCTCTTCTTCCCACTCCCTTCCCTGACTAGTTCTTTAGTATTTCACTTCTTGTTTTACTGTACTGATGTTAATAATCTTCATTTTGATTGCTGTTTTAAACTTTTCAAAAAAATTGCTGCTGGTTTTGTAGCTGTGTTATCTTTTGTCGCGATGGTTTACGACGTTATTTTACTAAAAACAACATGGAAGCCTTTGCAGGGGAAGAATAGTGAATGGTTTAAAGACACATATTGCCAGCAGTCAGTCAGAAGAACAAGCAGTCTTAGTAGCTGCAAATCTCTTCTGTCTCCTTCACTTCCTCACACCTCCACTACAGTTGACTTCTCATCCCCTTCACCCCTGGCAGTCAGGAAGGACTAAAAAAAGGAATGGCCGCAGTGACAGAAAGCCCCAGCTTGAAGAAACAGAAGACATCAACTAGGATTCCATGGCACCGAGGAGACCAGACGCTCGGAATCTGCACTAGCACTTTAGTCCCTGTGGAACTTGTGACTGAAGACTCGGCTGCAATCAGGGCAGCACTAGCTACATGCCTCTTGCACTCCAGACGACATGGCTTTCCCGCTGATAAGTGATGCTGCTGCACTCTTATTCCCAGTGCTCCCCAAGCCTGCTGTAGCTACACATTCCCCAGGTATTCTTTGATTGCTACAATTTACTTTAGTGAAATTGTTATTTATAATGAAAATCAACATGTGCTATGCTGGAATGGACAATCTGGCCCACTGATTTAATGTGAGCTAGTTTTGTATAATATGTTAATGTTTTAAATTTACACAACGTGAAACGGAGCCAAAGCTGAATGAAAAACAGAACCAGAACATATCCTTGGGCCCCATGTATAGAGAACTTCCTCTGATTCTAAGAAACCACTGGGCACATTTAACTAAGTGGGATATCAGTGCCTTAGTACAAATATAAAATAAATACCTCTTCCTCCAGTTTCACCACCTTGGCCTGAGCATTGTTCAAGGCCTGGTCCCGAATCTCAATGTGCCTCCGTTGATCCTCATTCGTGGAGCGAGCAGCTGCCAGTTCAACCTCCAACTTCTCTTTCTCCCTCTGGGTTTCTTTGTCTGCCCAAACAAAGTGGGAGGAAAGGAAAGAAAAAAATATGAACTTAAAAGGGGATGGAAGTGCCAGGCCAAAGATGACAGTGGCAACCTCTGAAAACTCCAGTCCCCATTTCAAAGAAGGTTAAGAGAATCCAGAAACATGGAACTTTTGGACAGGAAGGAAGACGAAGCAGCAGAGAGATCAAGGAGAAGAAGAACAAAGATCTCTGGATTTGCAGTGAAGAGCCTGTCAGTGATTCTGATGAGGACAATTTCAGAGGATGGAAGAGGGAGAAAGCCAGACTGTAGAGGAGCAAGAGAGCAGTTGGAGGTGATAAAACTGACACTGGTGGCTGGGAATAAGCAGTATGCTCTAGAAAGTTTGATGGCAATGGCAGAACCCCCCTCCCCCCCCGCCCCGAGGGCAGCTGGCGAGAGAGGCTGGGTTAAAAAGACAGCTTTCTGGGAAGGGTGGAAGACAGTGGCATGTTTAAAACATAGTGCAGGAGCCAGAGGAGAGGGACAGGATGGCTGTGCAGTAGAGAAGAGGTGAGGTGTCAGGGCAGATGGCAGTGTTCCATTTGGCACAGCATGTAGCGGTGTCTCCCCCACCTGTTCAGCAAAACAAATTGGATATCTTTAGGAGAGTAGTATATACATAACTTCAGAGGACGGCGGAAGACAGGAAGGCCTGGCGGGAACTGGTCCATGGGGTCGCGAAGAGTCGGACTCGACTGTGCGACTGAACAACAAACAACAACTCAGAGATAACGTATCAACCTGGATTTCCAACAACACAGCATGGGCCATCTTATCTTCAAGCTCATGACTGAGTCGGCCAATGACAGGCTCAGCTCACCAGAGATGGGCAAAACAACCCCTCCTACATCATCAGCCTTACAGACCAGCATCGCCTCTCTCTCATCTGGATCCAGCTTCCCCTCCCTCAGTCACTCAACAACAGCAGCAAGACACGGTTTTCTCTGCCAGCAGCTCCCCAGGGTTTCTGTCAGGAATAAGGCCTTTCCTGTATTTTACTACTGAAGATCCTTTCTGGAGACACCAAGGACTGAACCTTCAACACTAAGCACCTTTGAACCTGAAACCTTCTGCACACTGTCATTGGGCCACAATCACTTCACCTTCATCAACTAAGCTAGAGAGTCTCAACAACTCAGTAACATAACAAAGTTTGAGTCCAGTGGCACCTTCAAGACCAACAAAGTTTAATTCTAAGTATAAGCTTTAGTGTGAGAGCTTATACACAGAAGTAAGCTTTGTTGGTCTTAAAGGTGCCACTGGACTCAAACTTTGTTATGTTAAGCTACCAACAGGGCTACCCACCTGAAAAACTCAGTAAGACCGACCTAAATTTCAGTATCATGTTTGTCAGTGTCTCACTGATTGAAAAGAGGAGATTACCAAATATTTAAGGCATTTAACAGCTGTATTAAATATTCAGTAATTTCCCAGTTGGGGATTGTTGTTCCTCTCATTTGCACATTGAACAGCCCTCTGTAATTTACTCAGACACAGACAGGAAATCAAATCCATCAGGCCAAGGCAATTCAACCTAGTTACCTGTGGTGCTGAGGCCCTCCTAACATGCATGGTACTTTGGTTTGTTTGCTGACAATGACGTGCTTTAAATTATATCAGCCTCAAGAGTCATGTGGTCCCAATGGACAGTGAATTTGGAGTCTTGCTTGCCACTGAAAATCATAAATAATCCAGAATGTGGTACCAGGAACAGAACGTTACCTCCAATTTGACAGATGCATATTTTTTGTTTTCCCACAATTTGTTTCCAAATTGTAAAGCTGATCACCTGATCAAAATGTACTATGCAAAATGTACTAGTGAAGGACTTAGATAGCCTGCACAACACATGCACAGAGCAATGGGGGGGAGGGGTTGGGGGGAAAGGTCCAGAGATGGTTGTGCATACTGACTTTTAGTTTGTTTGAAGCAAAAACAGCACACATGAAGTCCAAGTCCAAACGGCTAGTGACTGCCAAATGGGTTGGAGTCTGCTTGTGCCTCGATTGCCACAAAAAGGTCCAAATAAATACAACCTTTTGGAGTACCCTGGAATCTCTATAGGTAGGATATGGAATAGTTTGGGGGCTCACTTTCCAGAAAAACAGGATAAATCCAAGCACTCATAGGACACCCTGTGAGCAGTGTTCCCTTTAAGATGAGTTAGTGTGAGCTAGCTCACAGTTTTTTAGCCTCTGGCTCACACATTTTTGTCTTAACTCAGGAAGGATGGCTCCAGAGCAAACTAATTTATGAGCAGCCAAATCACACAACTTTAGAGCAAGTAGCTCACAAAGTAGAGTTTTTGCTCACAAGACTCCACAGCTTAGAGGGAGCATTGGACACAAGCCTAAACAGCAGGTTAAACAGCATGAATGACAGAAGAACACTACAGGGATGCTGTACAATGCACTTTTTGTACAGCTGCTGCCACACTCTGCATTCTATTAGTGACTGCCAACACTGACTCAGTTACAGAATATACTTCTGGAACAAAGTAACCCAGCCCTGCCAAGTGCCAACATCCCATGACCAAGGAATTACACTAAATGGAAACCTGGTAATAGAGCCAGATCTCTGTAGCTGTGCTACACAGAACCTGAAAATGTTAGTCAAATAGAAAGAGGGCCAACAATAAAAGCTTAATATATATAGTATACAAAAAGATACATGTATTTATTAACAAAGAATTAAAAATATATAGGGGCCCAATCACACCTAATGTAAAAATACCAGAATCTCACACACAAGGACTAATGGACTTGACCTGACGCGTTTCGGCCTGAAATGAAACCACCAGGCACAGAATAAAAATATAAATGAGGCCTCCAAAGATGCAATCACATGCCAAGTGGTGATTCACTGGTAATAATTTCTGGTCCAGAAAGGGCCTTCCTATGATTGTTTAGCCAAAGTGTCCTCAGTAGAATTGCCCTTAGGCAAAGAGCCTAGTGGTTTCATTTTGGAACAATTTTTTTCTGGCCTTCTTGTATTTATATTTTATATCTGTAGGATTGTACTGTACTATTATATAAGCCAATATGTTCCTCACTGTGCTTGACCTCTGAAGAAGGCCATGCAAATCCAACACTTACTACAATCAATACTTACCAAAGACGATGATAATGCCCTTGTTCGCCGCCTATCTGACTTTGAGAATCTTTTAAAGCAAAGCGATCCTCGCAAGAACGGGCTCATTTCCAAAATTTATTCGATCTTGTCAGAAACTGATAATAATCACCCAACAAACTATCAGAGAGCTTGGCATAAAGATCTAAAAATTATTCTCCGTGAAGACCAGTGGTCCCAGATATGGCTTAGAACAAGCCTTATTTCCAAATCGCTACCTATTCAAGCCTCAGCTTATAAAGTCCTGTTTAGATGGTACTTGACGCCAGTAAGACTAGCGCATATGTCCTCTAACATAAGCTCTCACTGCTGGAAGCTATGCAGCTCTAAAGGAACCTTTTTTCACACATGGTGGGATTGTATCCACATCCACAATTTTTGGAAACAAATCTTACAAAGTATAAAGCACTTTACAGGCATTACTGTTCCCAACTATTATCTTACTCAACCTTTGGGATGATGACCAAATCCCTAAGATTCGTAGAGATCTGATTCTAACGCTTATAACAGCAGCCAAAGCCACAATTGCTCAGTACCAGTGGTTAGGGAAAGTTTGGGATTACTTCACGCTAGAAAAATTTATTATGCATACTAATAGATCCGTTGTATTGAACCTCCTTATAGATCCACTAGACAAATGGTTTCCCTTTTTGGAAAACATAGAAGCAGAAAAGTTGATATATGAAAAATGGTCGTTCTATATGCCTGACTCTATGCTATTTTAACCCCTTACTCTCTTGCAACGTCATTGTCAGATACTGTTCCTTTCGATGTAATCATTCAAAACACTCGGTGCACCGTGTTCTTTCCTATTATATATGTGCTGTTGAAATCCTTATATGAGTTCTGTACATGCATCTTAATTAAAATCCAATAAACTGTTTTAAAAAAAGAAAGAAGGCCTATGCAGGCCGAAACGCGTCAGGTCAAGTCCATTAGCCCTTGTGTGTTAGATTCTGAGGTGTGATTGGGCCCTTATATATTTTTTAATTGTTTGTTAATAAACACATGTATCTGTTTATATACTATATATTTATTAAGCTTTTATTGTTGGCCCTCTTTTCTATTTGACTAACCTTTTCAGGTTCTGGATCCCAGGTTTCTAGGTTCAGCCCCCCCCCCCTTTTGTCCCAGGCTATGCTACACAGGCCAAGCAATAATATGCCAGGACAGAGAGAGCCAGGGAAAGGGCTCTAACAAAAGGATCCCCATTACTCTGTGAGTAGGCAGTCATGCACAGGATTCACATTCACATTACAACGGCTAGTGGGACTTTAACTGACATTATCCCTATAGCAGAAGCGGTTCCATACCTACTGTGGAAACCAGATGTTCAATTAGCACTGAGATTAACAGCAGTGCTTCAAAACGTCCCAAGAAACCAATTTTAAGGGCCCGCACAATATTTCACAAAGGTAGATAGCTGCTCTCTTGTTCTGCCCTTTCAAATATGCACAAACAGGCCAGAAGAGCATGGGACAGGGATGGCATCTTCCCCCTCAACATAAATGATGCTTGGGTGAGGACTAAGGGAAACAAGCTGATGCTTATTCCTAGGTGCCCAGGACAGCCATCAAGCACCTTTGCACCAAATGCAGATTATAAACTCCAATTATTCTGATTATGTTCCAGGTGCAGGTTTTTAAATTCCATTTCAACAGCCACGGTAAATAGATGACCTTCCACAACAACATTTTTATGGATAAGCAGGAGATAATAATTTCAGGTAGCTATGTTGGCCCATCATCAGAAAGAAAGCCAACCCCCCACAGCTGGGTAACCCCTTTTCAGGACTGATGCAGCAGTATGCTGGTTAGTTCTGCAAGTTTGAAAGTTTGCTTGCAACTTCCCAATGTTTTAGTTGGTCTTAAAGGTATAGCTTAAGGTTAAGAGTGTTACTTAGAAGTTATTGGCTGCTATTGGAGGCATTTTACTCCCAGCGAGCACCTTTACAAAAGGCCTCTGTCAGTTCTGACGTACCCTACAGGTTCATAGCAATTTGATATGCTCCTAACATAAAGAATCTCTTCTCTAAAGACATAATACTGTGCAATTATGTGCAATGTACACTGTCTGAGACCAAACATCCTCTCAACACAGCTGCAGCAAGTCTTGCATGTTTTGGAGCAGAACGAGACTCCTGAAACAAAATGAAAAGTAGATCTTGGGAGAAAAAAGAGATGCACTGCAAATCCTCTCTGTCAGGCAATTATAAAGTAACAGCAACATTTAAAGCGCTGTCTGCAGGGTGGAGCTCCAAGCATTGCAAGAGTGATTCACTGCCTTAAGACCCAAGACATTCCGGACAAAGGGAAAGGCAGTATTCCAATACCTGTCATTTTGGTTTCCACTGTCATCAATCAATCGTCCATCTGCTCTTCTGGGCAGGGGTCATAACCTAAGGCTATTTTGTGTACACACCAGAAAAAGAGCATAGCACATTTCTTCCGTATTATGGAAAGGGAAAAATTCTTCCTCCCAGCAGCTTTGCAGGGCAAGATAGAGCCAAGACTAAGGAGTTACAGGGATGTGAGGGAAAAGAGAGGGAATGCAGGTAAAGCTTGTGTAAGCACCAACAGCCACTGCCCGGCTCTGCCTGGCCTTGCTGGGCCAGGTTCAGACTCCAGGCTCTCACGCTTTATGCTCCTAAAGAAAAGCACAAAGCGGTGTGTTTGGGGAGAGTGTAAACAAACTGTACTATTTTAAATGCATTTAGGACTGGAAACATGCCTAATCCCACAGAGCCCTCTCTTATCTAGGCAATGCTGCTCAACAATATTGTTGAGTTCTTTTCATCAATTCAGAAAGCTGGGGGGGAGGAGAGAATCTGCAGTCACAGCTTCTTACTGCTACTTTCCCTAAATTGCTACAGTCCTGGAGAGTTTTGCAATGTTCAAGTGTGGCATGTCAGAGAAATAGTATGTTTGGATAGGAGGGAAATGAAGAGAGGAAAGAATTAAGCCAGGCCTGTGTGATCTGCTCACCACGATTCTACGCAACAATCAAACAACTGAAGAGCACAACTTTGTGTGAAGACCGATTCAGCACTGGATTGCGCCTCACATCAAGATTCAAGCAAAAACGTCTTCAGCATCACACTTTATGCTAAGCTGGACCATTCTCACGTCTTCCTGAACCAGTGGCCTACATGTTGCATTGCCTCAAACCTACACTTGCCATGTTTATCTCACTTTTAGCACTCCACTCACACAAGAGTGATTACAAATTAGGGCAGTAATCTGAACTCACTTTGTGCAAAGAGCTGGGAGATCGTTTTCCTGTTATCCTCAGAACCCTCAAACTCTTTTTCTGCCAGCTGCTTGTTAGCTGTCTCCATGCGTTCTGCAAGAACAAAATACATTAAAGAATATTAGGTAGTTTATAAAACCCAAGGAACCTGTTGACCAATTGCACACCTTGTTTGATTCTGTGGCAGCTGCCCCCCCCCCCGCTGTATCTTCACATAGATACAAACATACAAATGAAGGACATTCAGTTACCTCTGAGGACAGAGAAATTTTTGACTAAAACTCTGTGAAGCATAAAACACGGTTAGCATTTTAAAGAAACATTTGCTTCATAGCTTCCCCCCTAAAATCTTCCTTGTACGGGAAAATGTATTCAGCTGTACAATGTCTTTGTAAAATCCCATCATAGCAAGATCATTTCTCAGTGCGAACTTTCACACGATCGCCTGAGGTGAATAAACACACTAAGCCATACAAGAAAAAGACAGAATATGGCAATGGCCATTTCCAACGCCTCACTAGAACAAATGGCTCCAGATATATCTGAATGTTTGACTGATGGCACACATTTTAATTGCAAGGGATGTATTTTAATTAGGAATGTTTGTAAGAACCTTTTGGAAATTAATGTAGTGGTGACAAAGCCACTTTCCCCTGGCTTCCAATCCTCCCACAATGCCAGAGTAGCATCAGACAGGCCAGAGCCACATGGGGCAGAGGGGGAGTCACATGGGTCCAGTCGCTAACTTCTTCCTGAAACAGGTGTGTGACAGAGTTCCTTTAAAGCAAGGGGACCCACACTGCCTCTCTGATGAATTTGGGGCACCAGATGGTATCTTCCTTCTCCAGGTCTTTCAAAGCAGACCGCTTGTGCTGTGAACTAAGTTCACATTTGTTTTTCTCCAATATTTCTAGATCAGCACAAAGACGTTCAACATTTCGAGCTCCACATTTCTTTGTTTTTTAAATCCAGCAATTGCATTTCGAAGTTGCCAATGTCAATATTAAAGGGAGAAAAATTTAATTCTGTTACAGTAGCATTAAGAGGTTTTTTAACAAAGGCTAACGTCGCTTTGCTGTTTCTGAATTCCTGAAACCTGTTGAGAAAAGCTTCCCTCATATTTAAAAGTGTTGTTTTGAAATAGCAAATGTCAATAGCAGAATTATTTTCTTGGCGATGTTTCAACAGGCTTGGAAAGTGAATCAAAGTTTCTCTTTCAAAATCTTGAGCAAAAAGAGATAATTTGTTTTTGAATGAAATAACTTCTTCGAAGAAAGTGTGTTTCCTTTCCCCTGTAGTTTACGATTAAGCTGATTTAGATGAGACGTAACGTCTACCATGAAATAATTTTTTTGGATCCACTGATCGTTCATTAGCTCTGGATAGTGAACACCCTTCTCAAGGAGAAATGCTTTAATTTCTGTTAATAAGGAAGCGAAACGTTTCAAAACGTTTCCTCTTGATAACCAACGCACCTTGTTATGCAGCAGAAGATCTGCGTACTCACTCTCCATTTCAACTAAAAATTCTTTAAATTGGCGATGATTAAGAGCTTTAGCTATAATGGAGTTGATAATCTTAATCACCAATTCCATAACGTTGCAAATTTCTTCTGGAAATGTCTGCGCACAAAGCCCTTCTTGATGAATGATGCAATGGTAAGTAAGTATCTCGTGATTAATTTTAACTTTCAAAATAGCAACAAACCCTTTTCTTACGCCAGTCATACTTTTCGCCCCGTCTGTTGAAATTGAGACAATTTTATTGAGTGGTATATGATGTTTTTCAATGCACTCAATTACAGCATTTGCTATATCCTCTCCATGTGTTTGACCTTTGAGTGGCAATAATCCTAACAGTTCTTCTTTAGGACCTGTAGATGAAATAAATAATACAAAAAG